CTCTATCTCTGTTCCTCCTGAACTCTGCAGCGCCCGCTGGCCGGCCGCAGGCCGGAGGCCTTCATGTTCCTACTTGTATTTTCTGTGTGCCTGGTGCTTGGCTTTGTAAAGCGGGGTGATACGGGCGGCTGTGCTCTGCCTTTACGTTCAGGCCACAAAGCCACTCGAGTCTGGAGCCTGATGCCCCTCTCCCTTCTCTATCTCTGTTCCTCCTGAACTCTGCAGCGCCTGCCACAGAGCGACAGGTCTTCCAGCCCTGGCCGGAGCGGCTGAACAACAATGTGGAGGAGCTTCTGCAGTCCTCCCTGTCCCTGGGAGGCCAGGAGCAGGGGCAGGAGCGCAAGCAGGAGCAGGGGCAGGAGCACAAGCAGGATCAGGGCCAGGGGCAAGAAGAGCAAGAGGAGGAGCAGGAGGAGGAGGGCAAGCAGGAGGAGGAGCAGGGGACTGAGGAGGAGCAGGAGTCTGTGTCCAGGCTGCGGACAGGGGCGACGGCTAAGCTCCGGGCCGAATTTATGTCTTCCAACCCTTTCTCCTTCACTCCCCGGGTGCGGGAAGTGGATTCCACTCCCCTGATGATGGAGAACATCCAGGAGCTTATTCGATCGGCCCAGGAAATGGATGAAATGAACGACATGTACGATGAAGACTCTATCTGGAAAAACCAAATCCCGGGCAGGTACAGGAAGTTCCGACCACCCTGAGCCCCGCCCCGCCCTCCGGCTGCCTGCTGGGGAATGAGAAGCCCACATGCCGGGCTTGGGCTGTCAGAACCACTCGCCCCGGGCTCCAGGTGCACCTAGCAACGGCCCGCCTTACCTGGGCCCGTCACTGGCTTAACCCCTGTCTGAGCTGCCCGTTCTCGGCGTCCTAGTGCAAAGAGCCCTGTACCTGCTGCCACCTGGCTGGGCTTCTGGTCTTGTCTCGGGCCCTGATTGTCATTAAACCTTGAGGAGATGGCTTCCCCTTCCTGGACCTCGGTTCCTCTTTTGAAAAAGGAGGTAGTTGGTCCAGAGGCCTCATTCAGCATGCTGAGAGTGCATGACCGTGACCACACGCTCAGGGGAAGAGTAGAGTGTTGTGGCCACTGCCCTCGCCAGCTGGCCCATCCTCACCAGCTAGCGCTTCTTCTTGCAGCCTCCTGCAGCTGCCCCACGTGGACGCCTTGTTGATTCTGTGCTACTCTATTGTGGAGAACACCTGCATCCTCACTCCCACGGCCAAGGCCTGGCAGTATCTGGAAGACGAGAAGCTGGGTTTTGGGAAGTCGGTATGCCCTTGCTCATGGGGTGTCCTCTAGTTCTAGTTCTCTAGTTCTCCGCTGGGCCTTGGGAGTAGGGGACAGGCAGGACCACAGAAAGTGAGAGCTAGCGCTGGAGAGATTCTTTCCAGGTGAGGATCCCTGCTTTGAAGGAACGTCGCCAGCTCACCTTAAACGAGGAAGGCTCAAGGCCTAGTCCGGAGCCCATTCCAGCCCAAGTTCATGCTTCCACTCTGAGTCGTGAGGCGCCAGTCCTCTCTTGAGCTAGTTCACCGCCTTCCATACTTGGCTTTACCTCAGATGCCGCTCTGATCTCTAGATCAGAGCCCATCCCAGGGGGTCTGTAGACAGATTCTGGTTTCACCGTGTCTCCGGCTAGGAAGTCCTATTTTCAGGAAGCTATTCTTTGTTCCCAAATACTTCCAGGTCACCAACATGGGTTGAGAGCTAGCATGCCAGGCAGGCATTCACTTGTTCAACAAACATCCACTGGGCACGGGCTTGCCCCTTGGTTAACCTTGAGCCCTATAGGTCCGATCCTTCTCCTGGAGCCTCCTGGGAGAGACATGAGGGAGTGGGCAGAAGAGTGGGGTGGCATCGATGCTGTGATGCAGAAGCACAGAGCACACAGGGACCAGATGGGGAGCGCAACTGTCCGTGGCTGGCAGGAGCAGAGAGCACCTAGAGGAGCTGATGTTGAGACAGAGCTGAAATGTCAGGGTAACCAGCCAAAAGGAAGAGGCTCAGGCAAAGGTGGCTGATAGAAGGAATAGTATGTGCAAAAACTCTTAGGCAAGGAAGTAGAAATGGCGAGAGAAACCAAGAATGAGCCTACCACTGCCCGTAAGGTGCCTGGCTCATGAGGGGTCAGCAGAAAGGTGGGTATTTTGTTAAGTGTAGGATGTTCAAGAGTCATGACAGGCTCACGGGATGTTTGTGCTTTTTTTTTTTAAGATTTATATATACATATAAGAACTGGGGTAGAGCCCAGAGGTACAGGAGGTGAGAGGATTCACCAGAGACAGAGTGGGCAGCAGAACAGGCAGATTGAGGAAGCACACTGCTGAGGGAGCAGGGGGCGGTCAGGAGAGGTCTGCTGGCCATGGGGTTCACGCCAGGGGTGGGGATGGCAGTAGCTCGATAGTGCTGTCTAACTCCTGCGCCACCAGGGAGGCTTAAAAGAACCATCAGGAACCCATGTTATGTGGAGCAGAGCAGCAGGAGCTGAGGAGGTAGGGTCATGAATAGTCTCCAGCATGGCAGTCTGAAGCAGTCCTGTAGTTTGGTGAGAGAAAGGAATTTGATAAGGCCCCCCACACACACACACAACCCTTGCACAGCACCTCACTGCACAAAATCTCTTCCGTCACCTTGTTTATTTCCCCCAACTGTACACAGGGAAGCTTCATCAGAACCCTGAGCAAAAGCGGTGATCAAATTCCTTGTGCAGCCTTGTGCAGTGGGGCTGAGGGGAGGGGGCGGCTGGAGGGGAGGCAGCGCTGACTGGACATAGCGCTCAGCACCACCCTCCCCATTATGCTGAGGAAGCTCGGTGAGGCAGAGTCCAGCTAGGGCTTGGACAGGCTCTGTGCTGAAGACTGGCTTCAGAGACCTTGGAGCTCTGGAACCGGGGCTTGGGCAGAGGGGTGTCTTGAAGAAGAAGAACTGGACCCATGTCCCACCCCCTGCTGGACACGTGGCTTTGAGCAGGGGACTCAGTCACTCGGCTGAGTCTCCTCACCTATTAAATGGGGGGCCGGGGGCAGTCTCAGTACCCAGGGCTTCTCATGAAGGCCAACTGGCACTGTCTGATCGCTGCGTCAGCGCTCAGTGACCATTTGCATTGTCAGTCCTCAGAGAGTCTAAGCTAGGGCTGGTTGCAGGTGACCTGAGAGTAGAGACCTGTCAGGCACTTGGCAGTGAGGATTTGGAGTCCGGATCGGAACTCGCGATAAAGATTTGGGTGTCACCTGCAGAGAGATGAAGTTTACCTGGGAGCAGGAAAAGTGTTCAGGGAAAGGGTGAGAAATAGAGAGCTGAGGCGAGGACAGGGAGGACCCTTGGGAAGGCGGCGGTCGGCTCTCGGAGGGCCTGCATGCCGCCCGGGGGGCTGGCCAGCCTGTGTCTCCTCTGCATTCCTGCCCAGGTCTGCGACAGCCTTGGGCGGCGGCACACAGGTACCTGTGACCTCTGTGGCTTCTGCTCCCTGAAGCTGGAGCAGTGCCACTCGGAGGCCAACCTGCAGCGGCAGCAGTGTGACAGGTCCCACAAGACCGTCTTCATCAGCCCCCTGCTGGCCTCCCAGAGCCTGTCCGTTGGCAACCAGGTAGCTGGTCTGGCAGCCTGTGGTGGGGGAGGCCACCGGTTCCAGCAGGACTGGGCAGGGGGAAGGGGCAGGGATGCAGACCTCCCCTCTGTCCCGGGGCCGCAGGTAGGAGGCACCTCAACAGGCCGCTTTTACGGGCTGGACATGTACGGCGGGCTCCGTATGGACTTCTGGTGTGCGCGGCTCGCCACAAAGGGCTGTGAAGATAACCGAGTGGCCGGCTGGCTCCAGACTGAGTTTCTGAGCTTCCAGGATGGGGATTTCCCCACTAAGGTCAGTGTCTCTCTGCAGAGCTCAGCCCCTGTCCCTCCCCCGGTTCCTTCCGGTGCTTCACGCTAAGTGGCCCCAGGAGCTGGAAGGCCTCTGAGGCCCCGAGCAGAATGGTGTCTGGTCAGAGGGGTGGGTGGGAACCAGCAGGACTGGGAGGCAGGGGACAGAGACCCTCTCCCAGCTCTACCTTCTGCAGTGAGGGGCTTCGGTGTCTTCCCTCTCTGGGCCAAAGTGCCCCTTGTCGCCACAAAAAGGACTCGGTGTGATGGCTGAGCTGCCGCCTCGGCCAGGCCCCTTCCCCTGTCCGTGTAACCAGCTACGCTCCCTGTCACCCGGCCTCCCCTCTGCAACCACCTGTATAGTAGCGGGGTGCCAGCCCCCTCGTGCTGTGGCCTAGCAAAACAAATAGTAGAGGGAGCTTCAGGGGAGACCCCGCGCCACCCTTACCCATCTCCAGAACCCTAGGTCTCTGCAAGATCATCTGTCCACTCCCTTGGTCGTACAGATGGGGAGGCAGGGTTCCCAGAGGGACCCCAAGGTCACACATGGCTTTTACCCTCTCACTCACTCAACCGCCACCAGAAGGCTCCCTGGCATTGGGTCCCCACCTGGCTCCCGCCCCATGTTGTGGACCCTGAGCGCCCCCACCCCCATTCTCCCTCTCCGTTCCTCAGCCGCTTGTCCAGCAAGCTGACCAGCCGGCCAGCCGCTTCCCATTCTCCATCCACCTCCTGCTTCTTCCCTGCAGTGGAATTGTGACTGGGGGTGAAAGGGGAAAGGCGGGTCAGAGAGGGGCTCCCTGAGGAAGGGCTGGCTCTTGAAGGCCTCGCCCTGCTCCGCCAGAGCAGGGTTCTGTGATTGCTGGTGTCCTGTGAGCCTCTGACCTCTTCCGTCCCTCCCCATCCCTGGCTCCTGGTTTAGATTTGTGATACGGACTATGTGCAGTACCCCAACTTCTGTGCCTTCAAAAGTCAGCAGTGTCTGATGAGAAACAGGGAACGAAAGGTGAGTCCCTCTCCTTGGCCCTCGTGCTCCCATCTCCCTCCTGTGGGTGACCACTGCAGGGGGAGGGGGGGGTTGCTATTCTGAGCCCCTCAGGCAGTGGGGGACATTGAGGTCAGCTCCTCATTTGCATCCTTGGGCAGAGGCTTCCACCAGAGCTGTCTCCTCCTCTCTTTTGGGAGGGGTCCTGCAGATAAGGGGGAGGGCCGGGGGAACCCCCAAGCTGCACTGGGAATAGCTTGTCAGGGTCTCCCACTTGGCGTAGCTGGGGTAAATCACTTCCTCCTGCTCTAGGCACACAGCATCCTCATTTCTGAGGGGCGTGGGGGAGGGGAGGGTCCCTTTGATGTCTCTGGCAGTGTTAACAACCCCCAGCCAGTTTGCTCACCCCTCCACCACTCTGTGCCCATCCTGCCCGCCCCGCCTCCGGGCCTGGCCGCCCACCTCGCGGGGCCTGGCCACTCGCAGCGCGGCACAGCCTGAGTGCCCCCACCCTGTGCAGGTGTCACGCATGAGATGTCTGCAGAACGAGACTTACAGCATCTTGAGCCAGGCCAGGAGCGAGGACATTGTGCTGCGATGGAGCCAGGAGTTCAGCACCTTGACGATGGGCCAAGCCGGATGAGCCCAGGGCCCACCCGTCCGCACCCCAGCCCCGCCTTCCCGCACCCACCCCGTCTGGTCTGTCCGCTAGCTTCAGGCTGCCCCTGAGGAGTCTCTGTCCTGGCCCCTCTTCAGCGGGTCCCTGGGCTTGGGGCCGCTGCCCTGAGAGGCCCGTGACGGGGACTCCACCCACCTTAAAGGATATCTTTACATACAGTGTTTATTTTCAACCCGTGTGGCCTCTTCTGGTTTTATATCCTGCCCCTTTGCCCCTTGGGATCACATGGTTTAGGGGTCCATCTGCGGGTGGGAGCATCATGGGAGTGGTACCCAGGAAAGCAGCAGGTTAAAGAAGGCAGGCTGGGACCTGAGGGGCGGTGGGGCTGCCAGGGGTGTGTGTGTGCGCGCACGCGCCCTGAGACCTCGGCCCGCCACCTCTGACCTGCATGTAGGAGTTCAGGCAGACTGAACTCCTGCCACAGGGGCCAGTCCTGGGACATAGGGCAGAGCTTTCACTCCATGACGTGAAAGTGTGGGAGGACTGGGCTTTGGGGCTCAGGAAACCCTCACCTGGCTGTCCTGCAATAGAACCCCAGGGGCTGACTGTTGAGGTGGCTGCGTCTGGACAACAATGTGGAGGCCTGACCCCAGCCTTGTCACGACTGAGGCCCGTCCATCGTGGGCTCCCGGGACACACCTTGCTCTCTCCGTGTCCTCCCTCCCGCTGCTGTAGTTTGAACAGATTGACAGCTTTTAAAAGCAGATTTATTATGGAAAAGCTCAAACATGCACCAAAACAGAACCATCTAATGTAACTATCACACAGGTCAAGCTCCGAAAGGCTCTGGAGAGTCCCGTCATAGAGAAATCCTCTGCACTCAGTGTTTGTCGCACTCACTCAACCACAATATCCCTTTTCACCTGCCACTCAGAGAACTTCACTTGTCTTATGAGGACACAACTGGGTATTGTTCTCACTCAGATGACGAGTAGCCCCTCACATATTCAGGGAGGAACACCTCCGTGAAGAGCAGAATGCATGCCTGCTTGTCTGATGTGGGCAGCCGAGTCAGGAGACTGAGAAGAGGGGCGTTGACGGTGCAGGACGTTCATGGGCCACGTCCTTGACCTACCCCGTGGAGAGGCCCCCAGCACTGCTGCCAGAGACCCATCAAGGCGGGGCTGTGAGGAGCTCTGCTCGCCCCAGAGCTGGGAAGGTCACTGGTCTGGGCAAGGGCGCAACCCACCTTGCATGGAAGTTGACACCTTGGGGCGCAATCCCACCAGTGGGGTGTGGAAGTTGGACCACACAGGTGCCATCCTCCCCAGGTCCCTTCCACACAGTTCTTCACAGCCCCTGTGGCAAAAATGAGCTCTAATGTCTCACAGTCAAGACTGCTTATTAGAAATATCCTTTTAGATGTTTTCACACCCCTACCTCATTTCTCCACTCCTTTACCTCTAACTTCCAAGATCACTTCCCAAGTAAGCTAAATGTACAAAGCATAAAATCCCAAAACTTCGTTTTTGTGTGACGAGCATGGACGAGTCCAACCCTGTCAATACAGAAGCCAGAGGACTCAGCCTGAGGCTGAGGGAAGAAGAGGGGGCTGTTGACCTGGCAGCCTGCCCCCAGCCCCGCCCTCCCAGGCCTGCCAGTCCAAGGGAAATGGCCCCCAGCAAAGAGGAACCACCCAGTCTGATGGAGGAGCAACCCGCACTCTGCAGGGGGGGGGGCCTGTGGTATCTTAGGGGGGGGCCTGTGGTATCTTGGCAGGCAGGGGGTTGGGGGTGGAGAGGGACCCCAGGCAGGGTAAGGAAGAAACCACAAGTGAGGGGCATGAGCAGAACCACCTGGCCTAACCCAAGAGGCCCCAAGAGGGGAAACTGGGGGAAACATACAGAGGCTGGCAGGTTAGTCATCTGGCACCAGGGGTAGGTGTGGCAATAAGGGCTTCCCGGAAACTGTGTGTGAGCAATGGGTGGTGGGGTGGCATTAGTTGGCAAGAGTTGGGGTTGGATCAGGTGCCATTTTCTGCTGGGTTTTCTTTTCTGGCTGGACTGTGGAGGCCACGGAGGACACAGCTTCCTCCTGTGTCTCTCCCTGTCCCTGGCGGGGCTGCGTGAGTGTGAGGGGCTGGAATCTACAGGGATCTACCAGAGTGGGTGTGTCCCCACCCGTCCCGGGAGCCGGTCCTACCAGCCCAGCCCAGCCCAGAGCCGGCAGCAGAAGGAAGCGGGTACAAGACAGCTGCGGCAGTCACAGGGAACACAGGTACAGGGGTGTCACGGGGGTGGGGGGCCACAGGGACAGTACCCCTCCCTTAGGCATGGGACGTGGGTAGCGGTGGAGACGAGGGTATCTCCCTAGAAAACCTTTCTGAATAGAGTGAAAAGCTAAAAGGGGCTGCCTCAGGCAGAAAGACCTTCTCAAAGAGTTGGGGAGGCAGCCAGCACCCTTGTGGCTCCCTGGCGGGCCCTTCGAGGATGGGTGCCCCCATTCTGGGCATCTTGGGGAAGCTGTGTCCCCCACTTTACCCTTTAGGAATCTCACTGTCTCGCCAGTTGCTGGCTCTCCCAAGACTTTTAGGAGGAGATGCTCTGGGTCTTTCCAGCTCCCACCCCGGCCCCCACACCCACTCACCCACTGGGGCCGGACAGGTACTCTGCCAGGTGCCCGGCAACACACCTGATGAACCAGCACTAACGGGTTCACTGGCACAGATAGGTTCTGACTGTTATTCTTCCCAGTCACCAAGGTGGCCTTTAGTGGAACTTTCTAGAAACATGAGGCCGTCGCCCAGTGCACTCATCTACATGAAAGGATTAAACTAGATAAGAATCAGACTCCTGGTCTCTGATGTCCCGGTGGCTCTGATTGGATGTGGCTCCTGACCAAGGTGAGGGGTGAACTTCCGTAACCTATTGCTGCCTCATCTCTGTGTCACACCAACGAGGGCGGCCACCTACCTGCCACCGATGCTCCCAACCGCGGGCTTTCACGGAAAGAAGGGGACCTCCCACCCCATTGTGTCTTGGGCTCCTTTTAGGCTGAACTAAAGTAGCTCAAAGGGGAGATGAAAACAAGAATCGAGAGGGAAACGCGAGCATCCCGTGAGTCTGATGTGAACTCATAGAGCCACTCTGCTCAGCTCCCTCAGCCCCGGCAGCTCTGGTGCTCTCTGCTCTCCCCTGGGGCCCACAGAAACAGAAACCTTGTATGCCTACACCCTCGGGGAGGGGAGAAGGCCTGAGAGGTGAGAACTGAAGCCACTGGTACAGTTCTAGGCGTATGCGAGCTGCCTGAGTGCAAATGAGGTCAAGGAGGTCAGACAATCTGGGAGTCTCTGAGGTGCCGGACGGGGACAGCCGGGCCAGGTAAGGAAAGATGTACAAAGGCTGCTCAGAGAACAGGTTTAGGAGGGCTGATCTTTCCTGGGTGACTTTTCTGTCAATAGATGGGCATTTATTTCCTGTTTTTCAGCTCTTGAAGGCAGGGTGGAGGGACGTATCCACTTTGAGGTGAGGTGACGTCTCCACGTTGGGGAAACTAATCATGAGTTGTTGGCTACCTTTGATTCCTGCCTTTTCCCAGAAAAAAAAAATGTTGGAGGACCTGGGGAGGATACGACATGTCTGAGGCTGTGTCTGGGAATGCAGGAACGGGCAGCTCAGGTGGGGAAGCGTGGGGAGAGGCCGGAGCAGGAATTTTGGCTGACAGCAGGACAGGGCAGTGCCCGGAAGGATGATGGAGATAAGATAACCAGCAATAGAGGGTGTGCCAGAGAGGAACGTGCCCCTGGCGCAAGACAAGACCTTCTGACTCTGGTAGCCGCCAACTATCTCACAGTTTTCCTGCTCATCCCAGATTCAGGGCAAACGGGTTCATCCATCCCCCCAGAGCAGCTGTGGGACAGAGCTGGCCATGAAGTCTTGGGACCCAGGTAAGCTTCTCCTGGGGGCTCAGCGCTGTTTGATTCTGCATACGAAAAGGTCTTCAGAGTTAAATTTAGCTGTGGGTAAAGGGTACATCCTCCCCATCTCCATTAGACCGCTCAGCACAGAGAGGGAGGATGTGGTTCTCTGACCATGCAGGGTCTCATGCGCCTTGGCTGGAAGCGGGACAGGCTGAGCAGTCACCAAACTCAGCTCCGGCCTCAAACATCTAAAGTGAGTTTGGCGCTACTCTAGAGTGGACCTCCAGGGGCCAACAGGATGAGATCTGGGTGCCTTCTTTACAAACTCCTGAAGCATGTGACATACTAAAACATAGAGGAGAAGAGCTGGGCTTCTGATAAAGTGCAGGGGCCGCGTGGAGCGCTCACAGGAGGATGCTGGCTGGAGGTGGGTTCTCTCTCCATCCACCCTGTCCCCATCATTGCCCTGGGTCACTGTTCCTTTCTCTTCAGTTCTCCTGTGCAATGGTCAGCAGGGTGGACAACCTGGGCAGGTCGGCTGGAGGGGGAGGGAGTGACCACAGCCTCCCATGTACTATTATGCTCTTACACGCTCCTCCTACCTGTGACAGAAAACAGACCTGCCCCTGGGGCTTATCAACAAAGAATGGTGCCCTGCCCAGCTCAGAGGGCAGTGGGACAGGTCCCGGAGTCACTGAGGACGCAATGAACGTGGGTCCCAAGGTGTGCGTGGGAAGCTGAAGGCCACCGGGAGGGACAGCGGCTGGGCACGCTCTGGCGCGGGAGCTCTGTGGTGGCGGGTGGGCACTGAAGGTCTTGGGCTCTGCTTGGGCATTGGCCAGGGGGTGGGCTCCAGAGGCCCCCCATCACGTGTATTTGTCAGTCAGGACATTGTTTCAACAGCAGGGGCCGCACCTGCTTCCTTTGAGCTGCCGCTGGGGCCTGTGTGTGCATGCGCTGATGTGCCCATTATTAGGCACCTCGTGCATGCATCTCCGGGGTGACCAGGCCTCTGTGTGGCCTCGATCATGCACATGTGTGCAGCTGGGGTGCTTCTGTTACCACATCCGCGTGTGTCGGTGTTACTGACACAGTGAAATGAAACCCCCGTGTTCGTTCTTTTCTGGGGCAACTGCTGTCTTTTCCCTTCTACGTTTCTCCCCACAACCTAACCTCTTCCTCAAGGCGGAATTGGGGAGAGGGTCTGGGCTGCCCCTCCCCCACATCTAGATCCTTCCTTCCATTTCCTGTTTGCCTCCTTTTTGGCAGTTTTTCCCATCTTTGCCATCTGGCCTGGCACTGTGCCCAGTCAGCTCCAGTGACAGGAGCCCCGGGGAAGCAGGCAGATGGGGTGGGGACCAGAGCCGGGGCCTGGCAGCTCTTAGCGCTCAGCTTGGGCCCTTATCTGTGAGTCTGTCAGGAAGGGGTGGCTTTTTGACAAATCGGCTCCACTCACAGAAACCCAAGGACTTTCTCCCCTTTGGAAGAGAGTAGTGACAGCATCGCCATCTGCTTCGCTAAAGGATCCTAACTTTACCTTTCAGTAGCATCTCAGTGAATACTCTTTGATCTGTATAACATTGCTACTTTATTGACAGAAAGACTTGGGGTTCTTTGCAATAATTATTCATTGACTCATCTGGTGTCTAGTATGTGTCTTCTAGTTGTAAGGAGCTATTGATTTTCCCAGTAATGGTTAAGAATGGTAACATGTGACTGTAATTATAATGTGAGCTGTTGGGCCTCCCTGGTGGCGTAACGGGTTAAAATGCAGCACTATGAAGCTACCGCAACCATTGCAGCATGAGTTCTATCCCTGGCCCGGGAGCTGGCCCACATGGCGTGGCAGACCTCTCCTGTTGCATCCACTGCTCCCCTCAGAGTGTATTTCAGTCAATTCACCTGCTCTGCTCCCCACTCTGTCTCTGGTGAATCCTCTCACCCCTCACACCTCCGTCCTGTACCTCAGTTCTTGTGTGCATAAATAAATAAACCTTTAAAAAAAAAAAAAAACAATGTGAGCTGTTATTGAAGGTTTAATGGAAGCTGTTTCCAGACAAGCCTTTTAAGAGTCGTGATTATGCATGTGAATGAGACAGTTAGGAGTGTGATAAAAAGCAGTTGGGTGATCGGCCCAATACAAGAGATCTTATACAACAAATCACAGGATGGGTGAATCAGGTGGGAGTGGTTGAGGGCCGATTTTCTGCCAGACAACCCAAAAATGTCACAGGACACACTGAGTGCAGAGACGAGGGTGAGAGAGCTGGGAGAGAAAAGCCGTGGAAGACGAGGTCTGCATGCTGGGACCTCAGCTTCTGACTGGGGAAATTGAACAAATAATACAGAGGATATGACCCGAGGAGTTTAACCTGAGCAGTTCCATGCTTAGTAAGCCAGGGTGACTGGTGAGGGCACACGTATGTGTGTGTGTATGTGTGTGTATAAAGGAGAGATTTGGGGTTACCAGGGCTTGAAAGGGGAGACAAAGGAAAGTGGGTGATTAAAGAGTATATATTTCCATCGGACTAATGAAGAAGTTAGTTGATCTTGGAGCACAGATTTTGTACAGGCGGTTGAAAAGGCCCCACTGTGCTGGGCTGCACTGGGCCTTGTATACCAGCTTTAGCCCTGGCAGTTGGACTTTGGAGCGGGGTGGTTCTGGGTTTAAATTCTGACATCACTAACTGAACCCTTGATCTCCTTTTAGCTTTCCTACAAAAATGAAGTTAAACGCCTGCCTCAAAAGGCGATTGGAAGGATTAGAGATTATGTATACATAAAATACCCCAGTAGCAGAGAAAATCACTGAATGGGCATTATTACATGCCACTCAACATTTATTGAGGTGGGTGTCGAGGATTCAAAGGCCTCTGAGTCACAGCTCCGCCTTCAGGGCACTCATACTGATTGGGAGGGGCAGGCAAAGAACAGTCCAGGCTGGCGGGAGAAGGAACAGTCGGGGAAACCTGGGCTCACAGCACTCTGGGAGCTATGCTGAGGGGACTAGAGCTGTCTTGAGGGGAGTGTGGGGGGTGAGGAAAGGTTCTGCAGAGTCCCAAGCAGTACTGAATTTGCCAGTTGGAGAACGGAGAAAGGGTATCCGAGTTGAAGAAAGCACATGCAAAGAAAGAGTCTGAAAACATCAGGTATGTGTGAAATATTGTTAGCTTGACATGACTGGAACAGAAGTCCTCGGGAAGTGGGGCTTGTGCCCCGAAAAGAGTCAGGTTTTACTAGTCATTATTTTCATTGTTGAAAGCAGTATCTTCTAGAGGGCATTTTTTTTCATTCCCTGGAACTGTTCTGCTCTACGTCTTACCAGCATTAAAGTGCTGCTAGTTGGTTGGAGGGAGGGCAAACAAATGAACAAAACCCCACAAGGAACCTTGTGATAGTCCACAGGTTTACAGCTTGTGTCCATGAAAAAGTGAAATGGTTGTGGTGTAGGGATTAACAGCTCAGGGTCTGCAACTTCTCTCTTGAAGGTGGCGTTGGGGTATCCATGTTCTCAGTGTTATTCCCAACAGACTAGGCCAAAAAAAAAAAAAAGTGGGAAAACCCAGGTAACCTTTGACAGATGAATGAATTAGAGAAACGTGGTGTGTGTGTGTGTGTGTGTGTTATGTATGTGTATATATCTGTGTGTGAATATATTATTAATATATATTAATGCAATTCTGATACCTGCAATATGGATGAACTTTGAAAACTTCACACTAAGTAAGACATACAAGGATTCCACATGAATCCACTCATTGGAGGTAGTTAGGAAAACTAAATTCATAGGGATAGAAAGAAGAACAGAGGTTACCAGGACATGGGGGTGCAGGGGGGGGGATGGACAGCTATTGCTTCATGAGTCTGGAGCTATTGCTTGGGAAGAGATGATGAAAACGCTCTGGAAATAGTGGTGATGACTCAACATTATGAATGTACTCAATGTCGCTGAAATGTGTACTTGAAGATGGTGAAAATGGTAAATTTTCAGGTATGTTTGTTTTACCACACACATATAAAATGGTGTCTGGCGTTGAGAGAGAGGTTCCTGTAGCCTCATGGCATTAAGGAAAGTGGGCTCCTGAGACCATGTCCTGTCCTCTGGCTCCTCCATCTCTTGGTCACATCCTCTGTCCACTTGAGGGCTGCAGCAGCTGAGATCTGCTTTCTCCAGCAGCCCTTCAGGCCCTGTGGTAGTTCCTTACTTCACTGAAGGCTCTCAGGGTTTGGGGTTCTCTTTGAGCCCTCACTCCTAAACCACCATCCCCCCATCAGAGAACCACATCTGGGAAGCTCTTATCATCCTCTCCAAGAACCACCTGAAAATCTTCACCCAGGGTCCACCTCCCCCCCCCCACCGCCCCACCACCATCAGGACTATGCCCTGGACCTCCAGACTCTGAGAGCCCCCACAATTTTATGAAGGCCGTTTTACAGTGAAGAAACTGAATTAGAGGGTCAGATAAGCCAGCTGAGCTGGCTGACTCTAGCTCATGCAGGAGCAACCGCAGTCTATGTGGCGAGTGAGGTTGGGATTTTGTACTGTACTGGGGAGTTCGAACTTTATTCCTGAGATAATGGGGAGTCAGCAGAGCACCTGTTCCAGGGGAGCTGGCCCTTTAAGTGTTCTCCACGACCTGGCACAATACCTACTTACTTGCACTTTATTATCTGTCTCTGGTCAGTGGAAAACAGGTGGGGGGAAATGGGTTCATTGCTGTGAACATGTCTGGAAGCTTCTACAGGTTCAGTGAGCATTTGTGGAGGGAATAAGGGAGAGCTATGGGTAGGCAATAACAGTGACCCAGGCCCTTTACAGTGATCATCTTATTTAATCCACAACCTCAGGAAGCAATGACTCCAGCTCCTTTATTATTGTTTTCCCAGGTAAGGAAAATAGGGTGAGAGAATTAAATAACTTTTCTGAGGTCAAAGAGGCAAATGGCAAAGTCAAAGGGTTTAGAGCCAGGGCATTAAACATTAAACTGCGCTACAGAGAGATGCTGTAGAGAGCTACTCTGGCTGGCTGGATGGTGGACTAAAGATTTGAGGTGGCGAAAAGACACCAATTTCGTTTCTAAGGTTTATTTATGCATACAAGAACTGGTGTGAGGAAGGGGGGGTGAGAGGATTCACCAGAGTCAGAGTTGGGAGCAGGACAGAGAGACTGAAATATACTGCAGAGGGGAGCAGCAGGTGAGACAGGAGAGGCCTGCTGTGCCATGTGGGTCAGCTCGCTGGCGGGGGATCGAACTCGTGCTGCAGTGGCTGCAGATAGTTTCATAGTGCTGAGCTTTAACCCATTGCACCATGAGGATGGGCACACACCAGGCAATTCAGCTAGATAAATATCTGTGTCCTGAGTACTGTCCTGGCATAATCCTGACCTTTGACTTGCCGCTCTGTTCCAGATCTCCACTGTCGCTGATGCTGTGACCAAACCCTTGGCAGCCCTATGCCCTACAGCCATCACCAACATCCTCATGCCCTGCCTCTGCTTGCCTTGGGACTGTGTGCAGCCGCCATGAGATGCAGGTGAACGCAGGTGATGCAGGTGAATGTGCCCTGTGACGCCCTCTGCCTAGCTCACCTTGACGCTAGGTACCATGCGCTGCCATAATTCTTCCAGTGGCTTTTCGAATAACTCTCTCCAGCCTTGCCGGGAATACCAGAATGTCCACCCCGTGCACATGGTGGCTTACAGCGTGGTGCTGGCCACCGGGCTGCCTCTCAATGCACTGGCGCTCTGGATCTTCACACGTGCCATTCGCGTGCGGTCAGTGGTGAGCATCTACATGTGCAATCTGGCCACCAGCGACCTGCTCTTCACACTCTCGCTGCCCATGCGTCTTTCCTACTACGCACTGCACTACTGGGCCCTGCCGGACTTCATGTGCCGGGCAGCGGGTGCCATCTTCCAGATGAACATGTACGGCAGCTGCATCTTCTTGACCCTCATCAACGTGGATCGCTACGTCGCCATCGTGCACCCGCTGCGGCTGCGGCACCTGCGGCGGCCCAGCATAGCGTGGCTGCTCTGTCTGGGCGTGTGGACGCTCATTCTGGTGTTCGCTGTGCCCACCTTCATGGTGCACGCGCCCTCGTACTGCTGGGAGGGCGACAAGGAGAAACGCCAGTGCTTCGAGGGCTTCAGCGACGACGTGTGGAAGGGCGCGCTGCTGCCGCTCGTGCTGCTGGCGGAGGCGCTGGGCTTCCTGCTGCCCCTGGTGGCCGTGGTCTACTCGTCGTTCCGGGTCTTCCGGACCCTGGCGCGGCCCGACGCCACGCGGAGCCAGCGGCGGCGGAAGACCGTGCGCCTCCTGCTGGCCAACCTCGCCATCTTCCTGCTGTGCTTCGTGCCGTACAACGCTACGCTGGCGGTGTACGGGCTGCTGCGCGGCTGCCTGGTGGAGGCTCCCCTGGACACCATCAGGCGGGTGCGCGGCGTGCTGATGGTGATGGTGCTCTTGGCCGGCTCCAACTGCGTGCTGGACCCGCTGGTGTACTACTTCAGCGCCGAAGGCTTCCGCAACACCCTGCGCGACCTGGGCACTCCGCTGCGCGCCGCCACCTTGGTCACCAACGGCGTTCAGGGAACGCTCGCCACGAAGCCCTCCGAGAGCACCTACATCGACAGCTTGCTTCCCGCCAGCCAGGAGCAGCTCAGGGCCTCCGAATCAGACCCCAAGGAGGCCCTCAACCTGCCCACCACGGACTCAGCCCTCTAAAGGCAAATCGATCCAGGGCGTCGTGACCACCCAGCCCCTGGCGCCTCTCGCACTCAGACGTGCGCTGGACACTTGAACTTCTGGATGGCAGCTCCAGCTCATAAATGCAGAACAAAGTGTGGGTGCAGGGGGGCACAGGGAAGGAAATACATACTTTAAATTGGCGGGTATGGTGATCCTGGTTGGGGAGGACCCCCGGCGCCCCCCCCCCCAAGTCGTAGGGGGCGATGCTGCCATCGCAGACACAGAAGACTGAATAAATGCCCTTGACAAGGACATGAAACACTCCCCGAAGCTCTACATGGAGCAGAAAACGGGACTCTGGACTTAGAAGACCCCAGTAGTCTTAGGACCTTGAACGCCAGTTCGCTGGTTTCACCAGGGCTTCCTTTGCCGACTGGGAGGAGTGGTGCAAGAGGCTATCTGATACTCCCTGCATCGTTTTCTTTCTTGTTTGGTAACAATTTAGATTTCACAGTCAGCATGAGGGCTGCACAAAACCGGTCCTTTTTCCCGCCCAGACACCCCTGTTCCCCTTTCTAGGTGACTGCTTTGTCTACCACTTCCCTTCCCTTGTAGGATAGTCTCCATTCTAAATCCTAATCTCTCTCTCTCTCTTCTTTCAGAAGACAGAGAAAATTCTTTGTACTAAAGTTCTCAGTCTTTTTTGGTCTCAAACAACTCTTGCACTCTTAAAAACTGAGCATTCCAGAGAGCTTTTGCTTATATGCTGTTCTTTTGATGTTCATGATATTAGAAATGAAAACAAGGAAGTTTGCAAAACAAATACACAAGTACACACTCCATTCGCTGTGAGAGCAATAATGTCCACAAAGCCACTGGATACTTCGCTGTGTGGAGAGTGACATCCTACCAGTAGTATTATGAAAATAGTTTGACGCCATGGCTGTCCTCAGTTGATCTCCAGATCACACTTGGAGAACCATACCTGTACCCAAGTATTAGACTTCCCAAGCCTTTACATACAGTATTTTGTTCTGTTTTGTTTATTCCTGCAGGGAGAGAGCAAAGCTGAACAAGTCAATTATCATTAAGATATGGGGTGCACAACCTTGCACTTCCAGGAGCCCCAACCCCCAGATAGGGGTGGAACTAACCCCAAGAACGCTCAGGAGGAGGGGGTGGGGCTTCCCTGGGGAGGGAACTGTGTGTGTCCCCACCCGGAAGAGAGCGTTTACAAGGAAACGAGGGCCATGTGAGGACAGGAACAGGCTGGTTGTTCTTAGCAAGGTGGAGGCCAGGGAAATGGAAGACTGGTTTACAGGCCACCCTCTGTTTCCTTCCGGGTTTGCCGGCGTCTTGGGGCACCAGAGTCACGGGGCAGCACTGGCATGCGACATCTGAGACTGGCTGACTGAGGGAATTGTTATTCCCGTGTCCTATATGCATTTCCATCCTTGCCTCCCAGTATTGTGCGTGCACGTGTGCACGCGTGTGTGTGTGTGTCTGTGTGTGTGTGTATGAAGGGAGAGAGAAAGGCTGTCCCAGTGAGTGTGTCTGTTTTAGTTGGGAGTAAGCCTTTTGTGTCTTTCTGCGAGCATCCAGATGGAGATTTACAAGGGTAAAATGACCCCTGGTGGCCAAACCGGAGAACTGACCCAAATTCCTCAGAGTGAGCGGGAGCTCTGGGTCTTCCTCCACCCCTAGGGAGGTTAAAGACCTGGCCCAGGGCCCTATCTCTGCTGCTCTGAAAGTCCCTTGGTGGTCAGCACTTGCTTCATTCTTAGGGTTTGGGATTTTCTCCTTCCAGCTCCGGGAGCAGCAAGCATCATTCTAGTCCAATAGAGCGTAGATTCAGCACATAGCTCTATCCAAGCTGAACCTAGTTGAACACAATTGAAAAAAAGTACTTCAGTGTTTTCCCATATAGATACGTGTGTTCCGAAGTTAGTAAAACCCACATAGCAAGTATCACCTTCTAACACTGTGTAATTTGCATATTTTAATTGTAATGTATCTTTTGTTGTTATCTGTCCCCCTCCCCCAACCTCACCCCCCTTGAAGTTAAGCTCCCTGTGGGGGTGGGGGGCGGTCAGGAACTTTTGTTTGGTCCTCTGATGTATTCTCCACCTCTAGAAGGGCGCCTTGCATTAAAAAAGTGCTCAACAAATATTTGTTGAATGGTGAACTGTTGAATTTCACTGTGAAGAAGTTAACTAGTGAGGAACCACAGAATAAGTCAACAATAATTATCATGCAGAACAGAAGATGCAAGAATGCAGGGTAAGGTGTGGGCGATTAATTCAGTGCGCAATAGAAGCCACTGATGATTCCTGAGTAGATTTTGCTCACCCCACCACTCAGTGAGGGCTAAACTGGAGCTATATATGATAGGGACCTTTGAAGGGAAAGACACTGGTCTGGGAACTATTAAAATAGTATAGGAGACACACCCTCCACCCCCACCCAGTGGCACAGGGGTTAAAGACACAGTGCTATCAAGCCATTGCCAGCCACTGCAGCATGAGTTTGATCCCCAGTCAGGGAGCTGACCCACATGGTATAGACCGCACTCCTGCTCCCCTCAGCAGTGTACTCCAGACATCTGCCTGTTGTGCTCCCCGCTCTGTCTCTGGTGAATCCTCTCACCACCACCACCCATACCTCTGGCCTGCACCTCACTTCTTGTATGTGTGTTTGTGTATATATGAAAAACAGTGCAGGAGAGGAGTGACCTGGTTTGGGAAGCAGATGGCAATGTTTGTCTCCAGCATGAAGGCTTGCTGCTTGAGTTCTGGCGGGTAGTTACCCCACAGCCAGTATCCAGGGGCTTCCATCAGGGGAATAGAGGAGAGCGACTAGGTGTTGCGGGCAGAACAAAGATGAACTGATTCTGACTAGTCACAGGCTGGGAAAGTTTAAGAAAATCTGTAGCCACTGCCAGTTTCACAGGACTGGGGAGTACGGCAGAGGTAAGAGTGGGAAATCCAGAGCCCTCACTCCTTTTAGTTATCCCACTTCGGACTTAGGAAAACCCAAAGGAGGAAAACAAAAAAAAAAAATCTTAGATGGAGACGGGAGAGCATTAAGGGGTTTTAAAAATCTCTGCATGCCTCCGTGTCTGTGGTACCTACCATGTTTTATCTTATTTAATGACAACACCCCTCTGCGTTAGGGATGCTGACTCCCCATTTCACAGATGGCACCTTAGAAGCTCCCACTGGTCACACGACCAGGGAGTGGCACAGAGTCTACTACTGGGCTTCCAAACTCCCGCTCTGAGGTGTATCCGGCTCTGTCTCCCACCTTCTCAGCCTGACTCCCTTGGCTACATCCTCTCCTGGCTTCTCTGCTTCTTCCCCCCTGCAAGAGTCCGCCTTGCTCACTGGGAATCGGCTGTGTCCTTCTGCCCCCCTTCTCTGCTCTTCCCCCACGTTCCAATCCTGCCCACTCCACAGACAGCACACCTGCTCCCCTCTCTCCGCTTGCCTCAGGCCCCTGTGTGTGGCTATATGAGATCCCAGGACTGGGCTTTCTTGGGGTTCCAGCAGTGTTGGGGTCCTTCCTCAAGGGCACTTACAGATGGGTGGCTCAGCCTCGACTCCCCTGTCCCAGCCTGGATTTTCTCAGTCTCCAAGGTAGCACTCACCACTGTCCACGACCACGCCCTGGGCTGTTCCCTCTGCGGGTCCCCCCAAGTCAAGAGACTAACAATCCTCGGTCTTGAAATAAAATACATTCAGGAGCAGCAGGACAGAGGTCAGGGACCCCTAAGGGCAGGGATGCTCGACTCTTTGCCCAGCACCGTGTTGGGGTGGGGGGAATCTGCAGAGCTGTTGCCTGGGGCCCCCCGTGGGAAAAATGGGGAAGGAGAATTTCAGCCTTCTCGTGCTCTCCTTCTCCGTTCTCTCAGGAGAGCCTGGAGGAGGCCAGGTAGCTCTCGCCTTGCTATCCTTTCCACAGGAGCACTGAAAGCGCTGAGAAGTGAAGTTTCCCACACGGGGGTGGGGAATTCTAAGGGCTCTCAGAATTTAGGAGTCAAAGGAACCTGGGTACTAATTTCACTTGTCACCTCTTGCCAATGTAACTTGACCAAGTTAGCCTCGCCAAGCCTCTGCTTTCTCCCCATGGAAATGGGGATCCTAGTATCGCTGTAGGGTCAAGGAGATCATCTGGAAGGCTGCTGAGAGGCAGCCCCTAAGTGGGGTAGAGGGAGCAGGTACACTGGTGAAGTCCGTCATAGCCACCGGCAGCGTCTCTGGAAGACAGCAAGGGCTCCAGGTGAGTGTCACCAGCGAGTCTTCTGGCAGTCTGAGAACCAGGGGCGCGGGTATGGGTAGGCAAGGCAGGCTGGGCAAGTTTCCAAGGTGCAGGTCAAGCAGATGACTGGGGGGCCAGGGCTGGCAGGTTGCCCTCTGGGGGCACTCTCTCCCCACTGGCCCCATGTCCACCCCACAGACTGAGGAGTGGGTGGAAGAGTGCCCTGAAAGGGAGAGAGGAGAGGGGGTATGGGATGAAGAACCAGGCCAAGGAGAGTGGGCCAGAGAGAAGGCTGGAGGGGAAGTAAGGGCCCAGGCGGCACTGGGTGGGGCTGGGAGGGGGGCCCAGGGGCGGAGGGCTCGCCCGGGAGGGAGAGCAGAGAGGGAGGAGACCAGGGAGGAAGACCGGCGCTGACACAGCCTCGATGTGTGGAACGGGCTGGGGTTTGGCCCACAGGTCAGGCGTCTGGCAGTATTATGGGATGGAGAGGCCTTAGGAGACAGGGAGAGTATTATGGGCTGGAGCAGCCTTAGGAGACTGGGGAATATTATGGGCTGGTGAGGCCCGGCTCCAACTGGAGGCGGGAGGAAGGGGTGCGGGGCGGGAAGGGGGGGTGGTGGTGGAAGGGAATATTATGGGCTGGAGGCCTCCTGCGACCAGAGGCAAGACTATTATGGGCTGGCAAGGCCTTCGGTGGCCAGAGGGGGGAGCAGCGGGGGATGGCACCGGCTGCATGTGAGTGGGGGTGGGGGAGCTTATTATGGGATAGCTCTTTGTACCTACTGCGGGGACTGCTTCTCCAGAAGATATTATGGGATGTCGTGTGTGGGAGGGGGAGTGGGGCTGGGGGGATTATTATGGGATGGTGGAGCAGCACGGGGAGGGCCTCAGGAGCTCTTCTCCAACGCCCCCACCCCTTGCTCTCTTGCCATTCCTTCTCTAGGGTCGGTGCTCTCTCCCAGAGGCCTAAGGGAAACACCTGAAACCTGTCCCCCACCACACACACTTTGGACACTTCAACCCATCTGAGCACGTCCCTCCACTAGCAGCCACCTCCTGGGTACTGAAGGGGAAAGGCAGCCCCTGGGGAATGAGGAGAAGGCCCCAAGCCCAAAGCAGGTTTGTGGCGACCAGTGGACCACACCCCCCACCTGCAGCAGGCCCCTGGCTGCCCCCCCCCGCACCCCCCCCAATCCCCTTGGGCCACTCTTTTCCCCTTCTCCCTCCTGGCCACAGAGTGGGGGCCCTTGAGTCTCCTCCCCTCCCCCTCCCCTCCATTTCCTCTCCAGCTCCCTCCACAGCCGTAACCAGTAAAACAGGCGGCCAGCTATTATGGGATGGCTGCTCCCGGCAGCTCTGCGGGAGGGGGCGGTCACCGCGGAATGTCTCCTGTGGGTGGCTATTATGGGATGGCCGCCTCTCGTTTTGGGGGGAGGTGGGGGCTAGCATGGAGGATTATTGTGGGCGGTACCCTGCTCGGCTGGGTGGGGCTGTCCTGGGTAGGTGAAACTCTGGGGAGGGGGGAGGGGGAAGGAAAGGAAGGAAGAGGGAGGGAAGGAGTTGGGGATGGTGGGGGGAAGCACAGACCTAGGGCCTGGCAAGAGTAACTGGCTGGAGAGGTTCTTTGGTGACAGCTGTGAGAAGGGGCCCCTGGGGCAGGTTGGAGCTAGCCAATTCCGAACCCTGGACACCTGGGTCCTTTCACAGCTTGTGAACTAGGGGTCACCTCCTCCAGGCCTGCCGTGTGGGCTGGCAATGAGAACCCAGGGTTCTGTCCATGTGACACACCGAAGGGTGTAGTGCTTCCTGGGTGACCACAGGGCCCCAGGACAGTCCTCCCTCCCTGCATTCCCAGATTCCCAGGGCTGGGGGGTAGGGGGTCCAGGTGGGCCCAGGGGAGCTTTGCCAC